CTGTACTGAGCGGGGCTGTCTTATTATTGAAACTTCATCAAGATACTTCCATATCGACACCGATTGCATCCATCCATTTCACTTCATTTCATCAGGTCCGTACAAGCACCATTCTGCAGTCACGTGTGTGCAACTGTCACGGAACTTTATCATTTCATCCAGTGACGACGGCACCGTCAAACTGTGGGATCGACACACCGGGGCCTATATTCGCGATCTGGTTCGTTTGGACGCAGCCGGTCGGGGCGCTGTTGTGTGGCGCATTGTGGCCTCAGAAACTCGAGTCGTCTGCGCGGCCGGTAGTCGTAGTGGGATTGAGAACACCAAACTGATTGTGCTCCGATTTGAAGAACCACGGACCACCGACTCGAACAATTTGTCCACTGCGCATGTATGTCGCTCCGCTTCACAATCTGTGCCAACACCAACAGTCAGCCAACTATTAGCCACCTCATCACAAGTGTTCCTCAGTGATGACAGTCTGTCGGATAGTTTGACTGCTTGATCTGATCTGATCTGGTTTGCCGAACTGCACTGCTCCATGTCCATTCACTTGCCGGTGTGCAATACACAAACACACTGATGTACATAACTATTATAGATATTGATTTTTATTTAGACCACGAAGCAATGTGTGTGTGCGCATCCGTTCTTTTACAGAGACCTACCTCTTATCTATCTATTTGTTATCCATTCGCATTGATCTGAGTCGCACTGACAGAACCATGGGTTTTGGCCTATCTGTCTCTGTGTTTATGTGTTTGACTTTTGTCAGCATTTGGTCTTCCATGAAGTTCACTGTATATTATTACAATACATCTTATCTTGCTTACTTTACAGCGTGTTTTGCCTTGTCCGAATTTCGATTTGTTGAAGTTTAACGGTCTGTTCTTCATTGGTGTTGAACGAGTTCATTGCTTAACCTCGGTCTGGGGAATCGTTAGCCTTTTCCGTAGTCAAGTAGTTTAGGCTGTTGTGCTCTGGGGTTTAAGTTCCGAGGATCTAACTCTTCCACCGCCAGTGTGCTTTCATGGTATTCAGGTTCAGTGATATCTGGCCCAGCACCACTCTGGTCGCGATCAGTTCCGTATAGGATGTCCTCGTGATTGAAGTGGCTCATCCCTACTGTGTTCTGACACCCGTTGAATGGATGGGGTGCTCAATCACGTGTGTTGGGCACTGCACTAATTGACTCGGTCTCTTTCTCTGTCCTTTTTGGGTATGGCGAGTCCCGGGGGGAGGAGGGAGAAGGAAGGAAGAGGGCTCACAACCAGTAAGTAGTATAACTAGATAAGCAAATCATCATATTCGGTTAGGTTTCGTTTTCTCAGTCACTAACCTTGCACTGCCTCGAGTTTGTATTCGGGGGTGGGGTGGTATCCTTTTGATCGAGTAATGACGGACAAAGTAGAAAGCGAACAGTGATATCTATAAAACGACACAAAGTGCGGTTAAACTAATTTTGTGACTATACCAGATGCACGAGCGTCACCGTTTAGAACACTCGGCCATATCACCGATCGTATTTAACCATCGATGGTCACTTGGACCCCGGCCACAAACTCTTAGTAACTGAGAGTCCCGGTCGGGCTGTTCATACCCTCACCCCAGGTCCTATTCTGACCAGTTTTGGCACTCATTATCTGTATCGTTAAGCCTATTTGGTGACATGCGTCCTCATTGTGTCATCGGGATCACTTAATTCTCTTTAGCTAACTTCGGCATTGCGTTTCTGGTTGTACCACCGGACAGGTACACCATGGTTTATACATAGCGTAATTCGCCCTTTATCCTGTTCCCGTAAGGTCTAAGTCCCTGCACCATGGAGCGGCATCGGTTGAACCTTAGGTGCACACATCGGGTCCTTCATAGACAGCCGTATGGCGTTATTGCTTTATAAATGTCTCAAGGTGGGACATGTCAATCAGGAGTTCTGTATGTGTGTGCCGAAACTTTATCGGAGATTCGCCCTTAAGATAAGGTGTATCTACCCAACTAGTTGAATTCGTCAACTTTCTCCACCGCTTTCCCGATTAGTGCAAGTTTGATTGGGAGTTGGACAAATACAAAATGATAACAGCACTTCGGAGATACGAAACACATGTGGAGTGTAGCTACATGACGACTAAAACCATCCAACCAGGCTTGAACCTGAACTAGATCTTCACTCAGCAGTGCAATGTTATCTATGTTCTCCAGATCCGACAGCCAGGACGAATTTTGAGACCGCTATCCTGTCAGGAGAGGAGTTCTATTTCACGATGTAATTTCCGCTGCACCTCTGGTGAAAAACGCGTAAACTCGAACATATCGCTGGTTGAAACTTATCAGAGTACATTTGAAACCGCGAGTTAATCCGTTTTGAGTCCCGAGGCTGACGTTGGATACTCTAAAACTGTCTTGATGTTATGCTCCCCCCCCCACCGCTCCGCCTGAGATTACGCCCCTAATAACTATGCTGAGATATAGTTCGGGATTTTCACAAGTTGTTAGCGTTCGGTACCTTTGGAGAGAATCGGTCGGTTAGGAAGCTCAGCTCCATGCAGTCATCCTATAGTTGATGCGTAGTTCTTTCTTCAACCGATGAAAGGGAATTGGGTAAATCAATGCTAGTTGAAACATTTGTCTTGCCAAAATACTCGGTAGATGAATGTTAAGAGAAAGGTTTAGCTATGTTCACAACAATGAACTGGTTGAAGGACCAAAACTGTTCCCGTGACAGCTGAATGAAAAATGAAATCTGTACATGCATCAGAATATTCTTTAGATTCTGGAGAGTAACTTAGATCTAATCAGCGGTTGTTCTACACTGAATCCACACCAAGAGAGTCTTCGTTCAGTCGCATCCGATATGGGAGTCCAATTTTTTTAAATGGAGTCTCGGCCATTTACCGCGGCAAAACTGGAATCAATCGCTTCTGGTGGTAGCCTCATGAATACCAGTGTTTCTGAACTTTCTCTTTGTTACCATATAAATCAGTTATCGATCGCGCTACTGATATTAATGATGGCATTTTGTTTGACCATACAGGTATTGACCAAATTCGTGCAACATCCTGATTTTCATCACATTTGTTCCTCTCAATGCTTCGTTTGTCCAGCCTCATTCACGGGATTGAATATAAGATTGCCCCACATCAGACGCAACATATCTGATATAATATCCACTTATGTCATTGCTTCTGTTAGCCACATGTCATTAAAATGTACAATTTCGCGATTTCAACGATTTTTGCTAATGCATCAGTTGTAAGATAACAAGGTCACAGTAGAAAACGTAACTGTAATTTATTTATTAAAATGACTCATAAACTTTATACTGGTATTGCACTTTCATCTCATCCATGTACCATTTGCTCCTCTTCGTTTCTGTGCACTGGAGGCAGTCGCTTTAGGATGGAATCCACCAAGTTGACTGCCAAACAGAATTTGCAAGTTTCCTCTAATACACCGCACACCCTTAACACCGGCTACCTGTGGCAAGGTGGCTGACTCATCCCTGTTTCTGATAGAGGGATAATTTTCCGAATAAAATAAAATCCCAGCTGCTGCACTTTAATAAAACTAATTTGACATTGAACCTGACCCGTCTAGAAACTGCATAAATGTAAAAAAATAATATTTATTTTGGTCTAACCGTTTTCTACCACCAAGCTCTAGCGAGCTGATATACCAACCTTCATATGTGAAAAATGTGACTTCAGCGAATGAGGATGATGTTGCACGAGTTTGGTCAACACCTGTAGGGGGCTACATTTTCCATTTTCAATCACGTGCGATATTGAAACGTTTATTTCCCGAGATGAACTTGAAGAGAGAGCACAACAAAGCTAGATTGCACGATTTATGTCAAGGCAGGTTTCGCTGCATCTCAGCTGGTAAAATACGGCTGAAAACTATCGTTTATATCGTTTAACGGTATATCAGCTTTCACAGGAATATGACAAGGACGTATCATCACACTTTTACCACTGCCAAGGCAGCGATAGTGTGACTGACAGTTGCATGTTGGGTTAGACACCGATTGACCAAATCACATGGTCAAAGGTCATTCGCCAATTCGACCCTCCAAACCTACACACATGCATCACCCACCACTAACACACATTACACCAGTACGAACCCCTACTCTTACCCAAGGACACCGAACACACAAACAGCCTGCATCGTTTATCGCTCGACATTTGCTAATGACGTATCAAGGTCCGGACCCGACAAGCCGATTTCAGATCATCCAACCC